TTGTCGAGGTGTTGGAGTTTTCTATAAATTTTAGAGATAAGTCCCTTGTCAGATACATTGTTGCTGAGTATGTTTTCCCAGTCTGTAGGTTCTCCTTTCACTCTTTTGGAGAAGTCTTTTGAAAAACAGAAAAATTTAATTTTTAGAAGGCCATGTTCATCTAGTTTATCTTCTTCTGTTTATGCACTTTGAATTATGCTTGACAGTCTATTTATGACATAAATGAGGGTTCCTAAATTTGCACCTATGTTTTCCTTGAGGAACTTTATAGTTTTAGGTTTCACATTTAAGTCTTTGATCCGTCTGGAGTTAGTTTTTGTGTGTGGTGTGAGGTACAGATCTTGTTTCATTTTTCTGCAAATGGCCAGTACCATTTGTTAAAGAGACAATCTGTTCCCCATTTAATCGATTTCAGCCCTTTGTCAAAGTTCAGCTGACCATAAGTCAATGGATCTATTTCTGGTTTCTCAATTCTGTTCCACTGGTCTATGTGTCAGTTGTTGTACCAATACCAGGCTGTTTTGACTACTGTGTCTGTATAGTAGGTTTTGAGATCTGAGAGTGTGAGACCTCCTACTTTTTTCTTCTTCTTCAATAGTGCTTTGCTTATTCAACATCTCTTTCCATATAAAATTAGTGATTGCTTTTTCTATATCCTTAAGGAATGCTGATGGGATCAGGACTGGGATTGCTTTGAATGTATAGATTGCTTTGGGTAGTACTGACATTTTCATAATGTTCCATCTTCCTATCCATGAGCATAGTATGTTCTTCCATTTATGTAGATCTCTTATGGTTTCTAGAAGTAGTGTTTTGTAGTTTTCTTTGTACAGATCTTTTGTGTCCCTAATAAGATTTATTCCCAAGTATTTTATTTTTTGATAGCTATTGTAAATGGAATTGATTTCCTTATTTCCTTTTCAGTAATCTCTTGGCTGGTGTAGAGGAATCCAAATGATTTTTGTATGTTAATCTTATATCCCACCACGAAACTAAATCTCTCAATTAGTTCCAGTAGATTTTTTTTTTTTTGGCTGAGTTTCTTGGGTTTTCTATTTATAGGATTATATCATCAGCAAATAAGGACAGTTTTACTACTTCCTTACCAATTTGGATGCCTTTAATTTCCCTTTCTTGCCTTATCGCCCTGGCTAAGACTTCTAATACAATGTTGAATAAAGTGGTGATAGGGTATCCTTGTCTGGTTCCTGTTTGCAAAGGGAACGGTTTTGGTCTCTCTCCATTGATAATAATCTTGGCTGTTGGTTTTGCATAGATGCCCTTTATTATGTTGAGGAATTTTCCTTCTATTCCTATTTTGCTGAGAGTTTTGATCAGGAATGGGTGTTAGATTGTATCAAACGCCTTTTCTGTATCTATTGATATGATCATGTGGTTCTTTTCCTTTGTTTTATTTAAGTGATGGATGCCATTGATTGTTTTTCTAATGTTGAGCATCCTTGCATATCTGGTATGAACCTCACTTGGTCATAATGTATTATTTTTTGGATAAGTTGTTGGAATCTATTGGCTAGGATTTTGTCGAAGATTTTTATATCTGTATTCATGAGCGATATTGGTCTGTAGTTTCCCTTTTTAGTGATGTCTTTGCCTTGAATTTGGGAGACTTCCATCCTTTTCTATGTTCTGGAATAGTTTGAGTATTGGTTTCAGTTCTTCTCTGAAGGTTTGGAAGAGTTCTCCAGTGAAACTGTCTGGGCCAGAGCTTTTTTTATTGTTGTTGTTGGTAGTTTTTTTTTTTTTTAAATGACCTGTCCAATTTCTTCCTTTTTTATGGGTCTGTTCAAATTTTCCACCTCAGTCTACTTTACCATTTTTTAAAATTGTTTTTCTTTCAAAGAAATGTAAGAATGTGTTTTAAATTGAATGTCTAAATTACTGAAAAACCTAATATAGAAAACTGTAGCTGTGGAACTCGAATTTCCACATGGTGTTGTCTTCACCTTATAAACATTTTGTTTTGCTTAATATTTCTCAAAAATAGTTAATGATGTAGCTAATTATTCATTTATTGTTGAAGAGGATTGGATTTTCCATGAGGCCTTATGAAAACGCTTACTATCCATAATGTGACATTGTCTTAATTTTTGTCTTCTGAAGGCAGGCTGGAATAGAAGTAAAAGACTTCGGACGGAGTTGGAGAAGTGGAGTTGCCTTTCATTCAGTTATCCATGCTATTCGACCAGAACTAGTGGACTTGGAGAAAGTAAAAGGAAGATCTAATAGGGAAAACCTGGAGGAGGCTTTCACTATAGCTGAAACTGAACTGGGGATCCCGAGACTGCTAGACCCTGAAGGTATGATGAGTAATTGTTGGCTCTGGGACATCTCAGCACAGAAGGTTTGTGTGTCTTCCACCCAGAAATTACATGACCTTCCATGTCTCTAATAAAAAAAAAAAAGAAAAGAAAACCGAACTCATGCCATTGAGTCACTTATGACTCATAGCGACCCTGTTCTGGGTTTCTGAGGTGGTAAATCTCTACGGAAGTAGATTGCCCAGTCTTCCTTCCATGGAGTGGCTGGTGGGTTTGAACTACCAACCTTCTGGGTAGCAGTCAAATGCCTTTGGCATTACACCACAAAAGTTCCTTACACTGATAATCTTCTGGATAAATATTTGCCTCCATATTTGGGAGCAAAATATAACTCTACTACTCCAAGCAGCAATTTAACATTGGTGGTACCAGCAAGGTAAACTTTACTTGTTTACAGTGGTTGCAGTAATGGGGTCAGGCATAGCAGGGATTGCAAGGATTGCTTAGGATCGAGCAGTGTTTTGTTCTGTTGTACATAGGGTCGCTATGGGTCAGAGTCACCTCAATGACATCTAATAACATCAATGGGGGAATGGAGGTTTTAGGGACATGTATGTGTGTGGGGTGTGTGTCATAGGATAAAAGAATTATCTCTAAATTAAAAACTCCAAAGAATCTAGAAGAAATAGAAGTTGATTAGCAAGAATTTGCTCCTTAAAAATGTCAGTCATGAGATACTGAGAAATGCTTTGGTGCATTGGTGTTATCCAGGGAATTGACTGATATTTTTCATTCCAATTGTTTGGCATGTTTTTGGATTTGTGTTGGTAAGGCTGTGAATATTAAGCCTCTCTGGAATTGGAGGAAACTGTTTCAAGCCTTCAAAAGACAATTTTGATGACTTTAATAAATCTATCTCTGAGCTCTGAACTTCAAAAGATGTAACAGAGCCTAATTTTTTTTTTTTTCCATAGAGTTGGATGAGAGGAGATTATATATGTTTTTTTTTGTTTTGTCACCCCCATATCCTCTAGACTCATGCACTGCCATCAAGTTGGATCCAACTCATAGCGACCCCTCCGTGGGTTTCTGAGGCGTTATCACTACGGAAGTAAATTGCCCAACCTTTCTTCTGAGGGGTGGCTGGTGGGTTTGAACCACCAGCCTTTTGGTTAGCAGTCACCTAGTGGACTTGGAGAAAGTGAAAGGAAGATCTAATTAATTAATTAATTTTCCATGTCAGAAAATGTGGTTGTCCTAATGTGAGAGCTATTCCCTCAAAAAGTTATTAGGCAAATTGAATATATAAACGTTTTATGAATCCAATTTAATAAACCAATATCTTTTATAATAATGATTTGATGGTTTAGTTACATATATATTTAGAAACATATGCTATGTTAAATCATGTATTAAATGTTGCATTTTCCCCATGTTCACATTTCATGAGATGGTCTTACTCGTTCTTCACACACTTCTTCATCATCGATCTCGTCACCTCCAAGGTCACCTTCAAGTCATCTGACAAATTTCAGAAGACATTATCTTTCTTTCCTTTTAAGTCATTTGAGTTGCAATGCTTTTAAAATCCTACACTGGCAGTTCCTAGAAAGTGTATCTCAAAGCACAATGAAACTTTATAAAAAATATTAGAACAATGATGTCTTTTGATTTTGGTGTTTGTTTGTTTTGCTTTGTAGGTACACATTTTCTACCTGTAATTTCTGAAATGTCATCTCTTTTTGTATTTCTTTAAAGAGAAAAACAAAACAACAACAACAAAAACCAGGTTGCTGTTGAACTGATTCTAACTCATGGTGTCTCATTCCATGTGTCTTTAAAATTGATCTTTAAAAGATATGTTTATAGTATTCAGCATTTAAGTCATGCTGTCTTATACCAGGAATAGCTACTAAATCTGTGGAAGTGTATTTGCCTGGTTTTTATGGATTTTATTAGGTAACATATATAAGCTTCAAAACCACAATGTTTGAGACCTTTTTAGGCTAATATGTCCCTCTCAAATAGTACTTGATTTTTCAAAGTACAGTAATTTAGAGAAGATGCCCCAAAACTGAGGATCTGTCTAAAGACTGAATATAAGTCTTGTCTCTCTTTTCCAAAGCAACACTTGGCAGGCTGTGGGAAGCTCAGCTCCATTAGGCCATCTGCAGTATGTGAGCTATATAGTCTCTTTTCTTCCAGTGCCAGACCTGTAAGCCTCTTGATACAACCCATTCACCCCAGTTCTGAAATCTGCATATTATTTTTATTCTATGAACTAGACAGACTGTCTGAATAACCATATAGTATCTTAGGTTTCTGCTGACTGAATCTTGAGATTATTTGAATGAAATAAGTATTACTTTGCTAAAAATTCTGCTAAAATGTGTCATCTTTTCGAGTTATAAAATTTCTACCATGTGTCATTTATCCTATATTGGCTTCCTTTCTGCCCCTAAATATCTAAATTGCAGTTCGTTTTCCTTCTGCATTTGTTGTTATTGTTGTTAGGTGTTATCCATTTGGCTCCAGTTCCCTGTGTACCACAGAACAAAACACTGCCTGGTCCCTTCTGCATTTAGAATATTGTTTACTGGAGTAATAGTTAGATGTCAAAACTTGTATTATTAAAATCCAGTAAATGTTAATTGATTTAGTGACTCTTGGTTCTGATTTTTTTCAGATGTTGATGTGGATAAACCAGATGAGAAGTCTGTTATGACCTATGTTGCCCAGTTTCTGAAACATTATCCTGATATCCACAATGCTGGTCTTGATGGACAAGAGAATGAGGTAGGTGTTTGTTTTTCAAGTATTGATAGTGCACTCAATGATAGTGACTCCGGTTTCTACGGAAGCTGTTTTCCAAAAATGAAATTGGGTAGTAACTGAGTGAAGAATAGTTATCACCAAATGAGGAGGAGATTAGAGGAAAAGATGTCTCCGCACTGTATGCTGGAAATGTCAGAGAATATAAATGCTAAAAATACAATGTTGATGGATTAAAATTGGGGGAAAGATAGCAGTGTTGACTTCCAGATTTTGTTATGTAATTACTACTCACAGCAAACATATGGAAGTAGGGCATAATTTGTACAAGTTCTAATTATTCACTGAGATTATATGTTGCCAGCCCTTCAAAAGTTTCAGTAACTTTCACATTTTTTTTTTCATTTTGTTCAATGGCATATGTTTATTGTCAAAAACAAAGGAAGAAAAGGAAAGGAAAATGATCCGTACTTGACCTTCTGGAGATAACCAATCCTGGGAAAAAAAAACACAACACCTTATTAATATGTTGAAGTTAATTCCCAAGACTTTCCTATGTACAAGTAGACATGTGTAATATTTTAACAAAAATAAAATTATAGCATATATAAACCAAACCCAAACCAAACGCACTGCCATCGAGTAGAACCCGACTCATAACAACCCTCATTGAATTTCTAAGGTGGTAAATCTTTACGGAAGATTCCACAGAGTGGCTGGTGGATTTGAACCACCAACCTTCTGGTTAGCCATCAGATGCCTTAGTCACTGTGCTACCAGAGCTCCTTTGGCATATATATAGTTTTATAATATGCTTTTACTATTAACATTATAAAGAACATTCCTGTGTCATTCTTGCTGGGTCATTATGTAGATGTACTATAATTCATCCAATCTACATTGTTGAAAATTCTTGATTATTTGCTGTGATAAATAATGCTTCTGTGAACAATCTTGTAGTAAAATGCTGTTTTAGGATTATTTCCTAGAAGTACAAGTCCTAGGCTAAGGGCTATGAAGTTTTTCAAGGCTCTCTAAAATGATGTTCCAAGTTCCCCTGTAGAAATTTGTTCCACTTTATACTCCAGCCAGTACATCAGAAAGCCCACTTTCCTAGTCCTTAAAAGCAATGGAGATTACCATTCTTCCTGATCTTTCTAAAATAATGTTCTATAGTTTTATTATTAGGAGCTCTGGTGGCATAGTGCCTAAGGCATTTGACTGCTAACCAGAAGGCTAGCGGTTCAAACCCACCAGCCACCCCTTGGCAGGAAGATTGGGCAATCTACTTCCATAGAGATACCGCCTTAGGAACCCAAGGAGGGTTCTCTATGAGTCGGATTCAACTCAATGTCAGTGAGTTTAGTTAGAGTTTTATTATTACATAGCAGCTGATTCAGTGTTGAATTTTAAATTAATTATAAGGCAAAATGGCAATTAGAGAAAATTATAAATGGAATTTTCAAGATGTCTTTGTCTCCTTATTGCTCAGGTCTCCACTAGAGTGTTCAGAGTACTTTGAGGCTACATTAATGAGAGTAAGAAGGTCTTAAAAAGTATTTCTCTAAATAGACTTAGAAATATGTGTAAGGAAGAGAAAAGCCAGGGAAGCATTAATTGGAAGTTTTCAAATAGAAAAAGACACTGCAATAATCATTAGAAATGAGTGAACTGATAAAAGAATTAAGGAAAATAAAGATAACTCTTATTTCCTAGGTCTGTGCAGTGCAGTCAATTTGGTACTTCATTGAAGTATTCATTTTTTAAAAAGGTATGCCTTCAGGAGACCTTTTTGGTTCCTGGTCAATAACATTGGCCTACAAAGTAACTTATCTGTAGTTAGCAAAGTAAATACTTGTAAGTGGCATCAAACAATATAAAGCCAAGGTTGTAGGAGGAAGCCCGACTACAGATAGATGCATGGTCTTTGGACTCATTTGGGGCTTTCTGGGATTTGACCATATAATTGGATACAGATGTTGGGGTGTGAATAGGAAACTTACTCAGAAAGAGTAATTAACTTCCTCAAGACAGTATAGAAAAATATCAAGTTTTTGATTTTCATATTTGAAGTCCTTATAGTGCCCACTTAGTTTTATTTCTCAGTTTTGAAAGTTCTAACATCTCCAACATTAATAAACTTTGTGACTGGAAATTTGAAAAGCTAAAAGAGTTACTTTAGTTAATACTTACAAACCAAAAAACAAAACCCACTGCCACTGAGTTGATTCTGACTCACAGTGACCCCTATTGGGTTTCCAAGGCTGCAGGCTCTGGTGATGCAGTGCCTAAGGCACTTGACTGCTAACAAGAAGGGTGGCGGTTCAAACCCACCAGCCACTCCTTGGAAGGAAGGTTGGGCAATCTACTTCCATAGTGATACTGCCTTGGGAACTCAAAGAGTGGTCGCTATGAGTCAGGTCTGCCTGGATGGCATATAACAACAACAACAATAACAAATCTTTATGGAAGTAGATTGCCTCATCTTCCTTCTGTAGAGCAGCTGATGGGTTTATAAGCAGAAATTAAGTGCACAAATTCTTAGAGATTTGACACACACATACTCCTGATCTAAGCTTGCTTATGCACTTCACTGAAGAGTCTTTATTACCTCATAACAAAAGCAAACAAACAAAATAAACTAAAAAACAAAAACAAACTATTGAATCAATTCCAAGTCATGGTCATCTCAATTGTGTTTATTAATAAATTGATTTCATTATCTACTGAATAAATTCTGACCATTTATTTTAACTTCCTTTTATCTCTTCCCCAAAAAGAGGAGGCAATGCAGTGTCTTCAGGGTCATTTCAAGATTTAATTTTAAGGAAGTATTTGACTTTAAAAAAATGTGACATTTTTAATGTAGAATGTAGTCATTTAGAATTGAATATCTTGAGTATGGAAATAAGAATTATGTATATATTTTTATGATGTAGGGCTTACATTCGTTTAATGCATCTAAACGGACACCTCATTCTGTGGTGAACCTTTACGATTTTGTAAACTCTTTTAGGGTGGCTGATCCCACCATCCCCCAAATGCTCAATAACCATGGACTTCAGTCTTAGTAAATAACTTTTCAAACTCATTTAAAAAAATCTTGACATCACTATATCTACCAGGATTTCAATATCTTCTGTATTTGATTTCTGTAACCCTTTCATGGATTTATTGGCATTAAATTTGTTATGGCTACCATTGTTAACACTGATTTTCTTATTGGAAATTGACATTGGCAGGCCTTTTTTCTTTAACTATTAAAACTGACAAAGACATTTGTCCCTGTAGGTATTTCCTTGGGCAGTTAGCATTTAATTTTAACAAAAAATAGATGGATGTGTTTATCCCAGGTATTAAATTTGAATTTATTTGTTTACTCATCCATTCCTCCATTTAAATAAACATTATTATCTGCCTTTGGGAATGGCACAATTCTGTTACAGGAACACAGAGATGTGCATGGTGACTGCATTTGTAGAGAAACCATGAGCCCATATACGTCTTTCTTTACCAGTTCTAAAATGTGTTATGCTATTTTAAGATATGGTTATCAAAAATGTTTGTTGCCACTGTGTCTGTTACAAATTAAAATAAAAGTTTGTCGTTTGCCAGATAAACATATCACCTTATTGAAGTTCAATATATTCTAAAGTTATGAAAGCATCTTCAATTGATTAGACCCTTAAATGAATTATTGCCTGTTTCTTTATAAACTGATGCCCCTCCATTGGTTTTCTCCTTATCTCTAATATACTTTTTGTTATTTATTTACATTATTTTTCTATATATTATCTTTTCATATTGGTAGGAAATACTCACAAGTTTTCCATCTCTTGCAAATTATATCCAAAGTTTTAAGGTAAGATTTAAGTAATCTTGAAGTAGTGAGTGACATCTTTCAAACATCCTGCATTCCATAGCTTGTTAGCCTCTCTTTTGCATGTATTTGTCCTTATCTACACAACTCTTTTTAATACCTTAATTTTTCTCCTTCCTTGTCCTTTCTAATAGAACAAATAACTGACCTGTATGTGTTATCAAAGGGTAGTCGCAGTCTAAACCACTTCCACAGTTTTCCACTAATCTTTAGTTGTAAGATGGCATCAATTACTTTCTTCTTAATAACCCTAATGTCACTGATAAACAATGTACACAGTAACTGTGTTTTATCTCTTTAAATGTAATGTAGAAAATCAAAACAAAGGCAAAAGGCTTAGTTTTGATAGGGTAAAATAATAAGCAACAAATAATTGAAAAGGGTAAGTATTCAGTTGGCTTATAAGCCTGTGAGGCACATCATTTCTTTTCTGATCAATGGTAGGGCCTCAAATAATATTTTCAGAATGAATGATTATGAATTTTTCCTGTATCTAGGTTACTGAGTGGGAATCCTATACTTCAAGTTTTCCATCTCTATCTTCCACTTAGACCTGAGGTTAACAACGCAATAGACTTTGTGCCGACAATGGAATAGAGAATTAGAAATAACTAATTTCATATCAAATGTTAAGTTAACTTTATTTTGTGCTCCATGAAGCATGAGGTTGAGTATATAAATATGCCTGTATTTATGCATGAATGGGAGAGAGAGAGAGATTGAGAGAATACTGACAGTTTAGCCACTTAGAATCTTAGAATTTGGGTACTGCTCTTTAGGCAAATATTGTTAGGTGCCTGTTCTGGTTCCCTAGTGCTGCTCTGACAAGAAAAATACTGCAAATGGGATGGCCTTAACAAGCAGGAGTTTATTTTCACAAATTGGAGGCTTTCAGTCCAAGTTCAAAGTGCCAAGCTCTAGGGGCTGGGTGAAAGTCCTTCAACATTGGGGTCCAGCTCTGCCTTTTGCTCCCAGTCCACTGAAGCTAGATGTGTTTCTTCAGTCAGACAGCTGCTGGCTGCTGAGGCTGAGAAGCCCCCAGGTTGACAAGTAATAAGGCACAGTCCCGATGTCACCAAACC